AGGAACACTGGTGCTGGACTTGATGTGTGATAAAATAAATAAAAAAAAAAACACAACAAAACACAACTTAGCAAAGACACAGGCTTCTCGAACATATGCGCTGATGGTTTGTCCCCCCTCACGCCCCAGCAATGCCTCTCACGCAGTCTCGCACAAAGGTCTATGTAGTATCCTGCTCTCTAACCAAGCTGCTTTACTCCTTTCAGACCCAGTGTTCAGTTGCTGTTACCAGTGCTATCTCTGCAGATAGGCGAAGACTCAACACCAGCTTCCAGCTCCAAAATGCCGGTTTGTGTCAGTGTAGGGACATAACACGTATGGAGCTCTGAGAAGCACTGAAAGAGAAATGGAAGGATCTGGTAATTCTGCACTTTCCAGCTACGCTAGAGCTGTTCTGTAGACAACATCACCTCAGATTCCTCTCGGACTTCTCTGGTTGCCCAGAGAAGCTGTGGCTGCCCCATCCCTGGAAGTGTTCCAGGCCAGGTTGGATGAGGTTTTGAGCAACCTGGTGTAGTGGAGGATGTCCTTACCCATGGCAGGGGGGTTGGAACTGGATGATCCCTTCCAGGTCCCTTCCAACCCAAACCATTCCATGATTCTATGGCATAGCTCTCTACTGATGTAAACTAGAAGAGAACTGCTCTGTAATGCCTGTGGAAAAGCACTGAATTTGGCCAATAATGTTTGCCTTGAAGAAGAGTTCAGCTGATGGACAGGTTCTGAGTTGCTAATACTACCTCAGCACAACCTTTTTTCTCTCTCCAGCTAATACTGCTGGGCTTGCTCAGCACACACAACCAGGGGGGTGTGACCTTACCTGTAAAGGAAGCAGCAAGAATAGAATTAAGATTTCAGCACAAAGGTATGGTCACACTTGAAGGAAATGTGTTGGAATAAATAGATTATAATGGACATCTCTGGTTTTGGTGAATCCCAGTCTGGGAGAAGATGGGAAGACTTCAAATAGAATTAAGGAAAATCAGAAGAGCAGTAGAACTATGTGGAGTGGACTCAGTTATCAGTGGACTGGAGGGCTCTCAAAACTTTAAGAGGCAAGTTTGCAGTCAGATTTAAGGGGAGAGGCTGCAGTTAGGTTTGGTATAGTCCCAAATCCTCAAGATGCTGCACATTTCAGATCAGAGCTGTTGATCTTTCCCAGGGCAATGAGCAGGCAATAGGATTGGTCTGGATAACAAAGGAAGAGATGCCGTGAATTTCTGCATTCCTGAGAAGGCTGGGAGGCAGGGTGGAGAGCTCCATTTTCCTACCCTGACCCTGCCCGCGTCCCCTCCAGCCGATGCCCTCTCCATGGAGCAGCAGCAGGAGCACCTGCCTGGGCTGTTTCCCAGCCTCCCAGCCGACACCTGTGGGGTGAATGCTTCACACCAGGTGGCAAATTAGTCCCTACGGTGAGTGCACAACCCCAGGCTGGTGGCTAATTAAACACCAAGCTTTCCCATGGGATGCAGCTGGTTTGATTTCTTCCATTATTTGTTTGAAATAGGTGAAAAGAATAAGCTGAAGCTGACACTTCAGGTCTTTGCACACTGCTGTCTCACCTCACAGCTTACAAACAGGCAAAGGAAACGCTCAGCAGCAGCAGAAGAGGAACCAGAAACACAAGCAGCAGCTTTATCGCTGTCATTGTTTCTGCCAGCGAACAGCCAGCCGTCACAGGACTAAAGCAGGTGAAGGAAAGAGCCTCTCAAACACCTAATGTATTCCTGCCCTCCTAGAAGCCAGTGCAGTGCCAGAGTGAAATGTGGAGCAGTCTTTAAAACAAATCGATAACAGACGAGACTGTGCAACAGTTCTAAAAATCTGACTATGAACAATTTTTTCCTGGAAGCCAATGTCATCCCTTGCTGAGCAGTCACCCAGTGCTACATCGCCCACTCCCTACATCCTTACAGCCACCATACCCTTCATCAGCCTGCTGCCTTGCCCTCTCTCCTCCTTATTATCACCAATTATTTTTGTCAATGTTGTCTGAACATCTCCGGTTTGTCAAATTCTTAGTTACACCAAAAGAAGGCAGAAGAAGATTTCTGTTGCGTATTGCTTCCTAGACACTAGTTTCAGCACAGCAGAGGGATCTGTAATTTTGGGTTTTGGCTGCAGACGACAGAGTGTAAGCGAAGAAGGGGATGCCAGCAAAATAAAGGAACTGTTCCCTACTTCAGAAAAAAATTAGATTTCTGCTGTAAGCCATTACAGTATCCAGAAGTACAGATCATTTCCTGGATATCCATTATTCCAATCTTCTCCAAGACATGGACAGTTGTGTCTTTACAAACCCACTGGAAAGTGGAAATTAAGAAGTTGTTCAAAACTAATTTGTTTCTCCAAGAGAAGCTTAGGTATCCCTTTCAGATATATTAAAAAAAATAAAAGGGGGGGGACAACTCCATTTGACAAAAACAAGTTACTCTTAGCAGTCTCCTCTGTTTTCTCTAAATTTCTTAGCTCAAATGTTTACTACTATTCGAACCAGCAATAGTACACAACGTTGCCAATCTGATTCATTACATCATTAGGAGACTTCAAAATGTTTAATGAGTTTCTTATCTAGTTAAAGGCTAACAAAGGCGAATCAGTGGAACTTGTTATCTGAAAAATCAGACAAGTGTTATTTAAAAGGCTGCTATCTGGAGACAAGTATTTTCAAACATTCCAGTGAATTTAGCAGTGTTTAAGCTAACAGCCCATCGGGGCTGGGTCAGAAGTCGCCGAGGTTTAAGAGTTACAGCCCTTCAAACACAAATCTATTCCCTACATTGTGAAGTGTTGCCGACGTGGTGAGAACGGTCTTGTTCCATAGACACAAGTTATTAAAATCGATACAGCTCGCTGTTCTCTGAGCCAAGGCTGTGATTTACTGCCTGCTAGTAAGGAGCAAAGATTGGCTGTACACAGCGTAAGAATCCCACACTTCAACAGATACATGGTATGTTAATAAGTGCACGTAAAGAGAGAGATTCTGATTTCGCTGTCGTATACCAAAAAAACCTCTAAGGATGAGGTTTATTGACGGGCCCACTCTTGAAATACACGAGTTCAGTGGGGCTTCCCAGCCCGCACCGGCTCACCCTCTCCCGTAAGACAGCTGAATTCCCAGCGACCTTTCTCTGGTGCATCCTAATTAGG